GGTTATACCTAGTAGCGTGGTGTCAGTTAAGGTGCGTGGTTGTTTAAAAAAAGACAACCATTTTATTAAATATTGACATTATATTTCAAAAAACTTATATATCTGATTTATTATTCCATTTAAAGTAGAAGTGTTCTCTTGATATTTTTCTGTAAAATGCTTCAATCAAAAAATATTAACAATTACAGCTGATGGAAGATGCCCAACTTGGGGACTTCAAAAACTTATAACTTTTTTTTAGAAGCTTTTTACAAAAAAATTCCAAGAGATTCTTTCTTCCTAAAATATGCCAGATTCTTAGAGAAAAATGTTTGAAACCAAAATTTAGATTTTTTTTTGAAAATTTTTATAATTGTTTAAACAATTACGGCTTAGAAAATTTGTACAACTCTTTACAAATTGTAAAGAGTCAATATGGATTGTGCGTTAAAATATACACCAAAAAAAAAACACTAAAAAAACCTTTATTTATCCGATGCAGACTGGTTGTACACCAGAAAAGACATAGCCCTCAGACTATTGCGCTTACTTAAGAAATAATTTTTCATCTTATTTAAAGAAGGGCAAGTATGGGCAAGATTTTTTGATGGATTAACTTCCTAGGTATGTTCAGGTATATGAAATTGCTCGAGAGCCCGTGAAAGCTCGAGAAAAATCTTTTCGATTTTCTACGTTTTCTTTAAATATTTGCAGAAATATAGCATTTTTCGAGAATAAAATTAAATACCTAAAGATTTATTTATTTTCATAAGTTAATAAGAAAATTGACTCTTTAAATAATTGTAATACAACCAGTATCTGTTAATAATTTTAAAACATCAGTTGAAAATGGCTTCTTTGTTTTCTTAGGTTTAATTCCTAATAATGAAATGTAAGGATCCGAGTGTAAAAGAAGTCCATGAATGATATCTTCGTGAGTCTTAGTACGCGACAGTTTTCTGCTGTTGTCTATTCTTAATAGTTTTGTAACCTTGGGTAAAGTTTCTTAAATTTCTTCTGAAAATGGACCAAGAGGTAATACGTAATGTCATATCACTGATGTACCATGAATCAAAATCTGGAACGCAGTTCAGGTTAATGGATAATACGATTTTTTTCCGACACGTACAAAGGTCAAAATTAAGATTGGTGATATATCAATTCAGTTCTGTTTGGTGGACAGCAAAATGTAGAGCTTTTTCAGTTATTCTAAACTTGAGTCGTGGTTTCTAAATTTTATACCCTATAGTCTGTTATTGTTATGCTAATAAGTTGAAAAAAAAAATAGTTACCTTGCGAACCAGTGGTGGCATGTAATACTAAGAGTAAAACATTACATGTCGCTCTGCGGTTTCCAAGCAATACTTTTTAAAAGCGATTTCATCAATTGTATATCCATAATTTATTGTTATAAAAATGTTATGAAATCTCTGTATTAGCTCTTTGTCGATCCCTAACAACAAGTCAATTAAAATGAATTTCTTACACAAATAGTAGCAATGTCAAAAATATTTATTTGTACCTGTTATTTCTGCAGATTTTGAATAGTTCTCAAAAAATCTTTCAGCGATGTTTCTATCATTAGAATTTCCAAAACAAGGGTTTGGAAAGTCAACCCTTAATAACAACTGAGATAAAAATTTATTTTGAATTTTTTTTTTTCGATTTTCCATTATTTCTTTACACCCATTTTTTACTGTAGCCCAAAAATGTTCGGGTAAAAATTACATGTAGACTCGTATTTATTTTCAACAGTCCACATAGTGTTATTAATTAAAATACTTTTAATTGTTAATTTTTCGATGACAATCAATTTATAAACAAACCTTCCATTGCTTGTAATCCAGTCAATAAAATATATGCAGGCAGCAATCGTAAAAGTGCAGCCAAGAGTGTAATATGGATTAGCTATGAGACAATGCTTGGTCATTTTCTTTGTTTTTGAATAACTTTATTTAAATCATTCATTTGTAAAATCGAAGAGTTTTAAATAAGCAGGCTATGCTTGATATTTCAGTTGATTCATTAATTATTTAAAATGAAATTTTTTTTTTATTTTTAAGTTACAAATGATAACTTTTAAGTTTCTTAGGACAAAAATTGATTTAAAAAAATTTCCTTCGCTAATTAATAACCTTTTAACGAAAGTGTCATGTAAATGGAAACCTATTAACCTTATTATCAGCCATAGTCAAATGGAGTGAAAATAGTATTTTCATGGTTTTTTTTCGGAAAAAGTGTCAGCTGAGGAATTTTGTTTTTTAAACGCTTATTTTCTTGTTGGATCAAATCCTTGGTTTTGCGTTGTCATTGCAATCTTACAAGTCGACAAAATCTTGTAGAGCATAGTCTTGGGTAATCCCACACTACCACACCAGTGTCTACATTTTTTATTTGCAATGGAACTATCGATGTAAGAAATAAACTCTCGTTACTCGCGGTAAATCCGTGTCAAGATTGCTTATACTGGGAGTATCCAGAACTCCCGTCAAATCCATACTTCAAAATCAACAAATAATTATTTTCATGCTCAGCATAAGAAATCGGAGGACTTTGAAGTATCCTACTGCAAGTATCATTCCACAAAGACTGCAATGAAATTTCAGAAGTTTTTTCCATTATTGGGATATCAGCTGGATAAGCAGCTTTTTTAGTTTTTACGATGTTTTTGTAAGTTAGATGGATATCACAATTTTTTGCTCTTGCATTTTGACGTATGGCTTCGTATTGTCGCTTAGTAAAGCAGTTTTCAATTATAAAAGTTAAAGCCTCTTCAGGCGTATACTTAGTATTATTACTACGTGAGTTTTTCCATGAATCTAAAATTCTTTTTGCGCGATTTGAAGAACCTCCTGTGGTTTCCTTTAACAGTTTTGCAGCAGCGTTATTTCCATCCAAACGTAAGGCCATTGATGCTGCAGTTGTTAACACATTTACACTGTCTGTAACTGCGAAGAGATTGTGTTTTCCGTCTTTTAAAACTGACAGACCTTTTGTCAAATGTCTTCGATCTTGTTCCTCTTTTTGCGTTTTTGTTTCTTTGATATAATTATAATAATAATACATGCATATTATATTAAAAGACAAAATTGAACTTACGTGGGTGGGTGGCCATTAAATGTAAAATCTATTTCGGAATTTAACCAGTCTTGCTCTTACACAAAAAATCGATCATTATTACGTTTTGACGCATTCCATTTTTCACTGTATCTGTTATAAAATCTTGAGTTTAGTTTATCATGAAGAGTTTTTCTTGTACAACAATCATAAAAAACATTACATTTATCTATTAACTTCTGTATAATTTCGACTTTCTTTTCGGCCACTGATTTTTCAGTGGTCTTCAGGTAAGCATAATGGAGTTCAGACCATCTCATTTTGTTCATTGTTAAATTGTATACATACGCGCGAAAAATTTACAATGGACAAGGCAATATCACTTTACTTATAACAATAATACTATAGTAGATTATTGACAGATTTCTTTCTTTGCACTATGCAACTGCATCTTACCTTTGCTAGTTAAAATCTAATAGAACAGCTCGAAATTCTAAGTTACACGGTTATACCTAGTAGCGTGGTGTCAGTTAAGGTGCGTGGTTGTTTAAAAAAAGACAACCATTTTATTAAATATTGACATTATATTTCAAAAAACTTATATATCTGATTTATTATTCCATTTAAAGTAGAAGTGTTCTCTTGATATTTTTCTGTAAAATGCTTCAATCAAAAAATATTAACAATTACAGCTGATGGAAGATGCCCAACTTGGGGACTTCAAAAACTTATAACTTTTTTTTAGAAGCTTTTTACAAAAAAATTCCAAGAGATTCTTTCTTCCTAAAATATGCCAGATTCTTAGAGAAAAATGTTTGAAACCAAAATTTAGATTTTTTTTTGAAAATTTTTATAATTGTTTAAACAATTACGGCTTAGAAAATTTGTACAACTCTTTACAAATTGTAAAGAGTCAATATGGATTGTGCGTTAAAATATACACCAAAAAAAAAACACTAAAAAAACCTTTATTTATCCGATGCAGACTGGTTGTACACCAGAAAAGACATAGCCCTCAGACTATTGCGCTTACTTAAGAAATAATTTTTCATCTTATTTAAAGAAGGGCAAGTATGGGCAAGATTTTTTGATGGATTAACTTCCTAGGTATGTTCAGGTATATGAAATTGCTCGAGAGCCCGTGAAAGCTCGAGAAAAATCTTTTCGATTTTCTACGTTTTCTTTAAATATTTGCAGAAATATAGCATTTTTCGAGAATAAAATTAAATACCTAGAGATTTATTTACTTTCATAAGTCAAAAAGAAAATTTACTCTATATATTATATATAATAACATTAAAACAAAAAAAAATTCATGGCTGAATCGAACCAAAAAATTTTACAATTAATTTAAGAAACAAAAATCACACAAAAAATCGAAAAAATTCGGAAAAAGCAAAATTCACTTACTTGAAAGCTGCGTACGTTTAAGACTAAATTTTTTTGGGTCATAATTTTTATGGACTTATATGCTTTTGAGTATCAAGAATAAGTAAACATCACAAAAAATAGCAAATTTGAAACTTGAAAAATTGAATTTTGGCCAGCTTTTTGGCAATTTGCTCCACTGTGCGACGAGCCTTGAACGGAAACGCACGTGCGACTTTGCCTTATAAATGTGGTGTTCTTAATAAAATCTTTTAGGAAATAAGTATTGATCATTTTTCGCGACGCACCTCCTTACTAATCTCTTTCCCACGTGACTATAGCACACTTTCAAGAAAAAATTTCTTAGCTCTTTTGTCAAATTGTGTTACTACTAGCTTTTTGAGTTAATAGTAATGATAAAAGTTTATATTGTGAATAAAAGTTTTAAGTTCCTTACGGTACATGACATATGATAAATAATTTACATTACACAATTCTATACATAATTGGAGATATTTTTGAAACATATTGTGTTAACTATGACTGTAAAATGTTTTTTTTTAATGTAAAAAATTAAAGGAGAGTTTTATCCACAGAGCAATCTTACACACTTATCGCGACAAGAATATGTGCCAGGTGTAGGCATGGGTATAGCAAAGTGCCCTTACGATCCTGCAGATAATTCAACAGCAGTTTGGGTAGAAAAAGGCAATCCAGGGGATCTACCAGCACTTTATTCTGGCACTAATGCGGAGTTTACTAAAGCTGATGCCGTCATTTTTCGTACAGATCTCCTCAACTTTACCACTAGTCGAAAAGTATATAGTTTCAAAAGGACGTTAAAATATGACTCTAAGTGGCTAGACAGTGAGTATTATTATATCACTATAAATTAGTAGATAGATAATTGCAGGCATTTATAGTTATCTTTTTTTTCACACGCAAGGACTACTTATTATTATTTTTAAAATTTTTATGACAAGCTTATTAAATAGACTTAATTTTTAATTTAAAATGTATAATTTACTGTTGGCTCACATTACCATCCGAGTTCTAGGTCCAAGACAGCGCACAAATGCATCCAAAAATAAACCAGTAGTCAGTGGGTGCTTGGGTACCCTAGTAGGAAGTTTTACTTCTCTGGCAGATAATAGGGGTAAATGGCCCAACTACTATGGTACGACGGTAATAAAAAATAAGAAAAACATACTGAAAATATCATGTGTTCAGATATTGTAACACGTGCAGGCATAAGAAACATTTAATCCAGAATCATACTTCACGTCATGATATACATAATTTTTAAACTAAGTGACTCTAAACGAATTTAAGCTACAAAACTTTGTAGCCGTGCGCCATAATTAGTGCACAGCAATTGGGTGTGGGCTTCAGCATGAAAATCTTATGAGAGATACCCAAGCAGTAATTGAGGGCGCAGCAACTGGTGCTGATTTTATAACGGTGCATGGTCAAATAAGCAAGGGATAACAGCACTAGAACAATTATTTAAAAAACATAAATAAGTAACAAAACATTAAAACATTCCTTGCCTTAATCTGGTAAGATACTGCAGATAAAAATATATTAAAATTGATTTTATTTACGTAAAAAACATCGAGAAAGGAGAAATTGATTCACTGCAATGTATCAAAGGTGATGCGATGTACTATCCTTAGAATCATCTGGTAATACTGTGTGATTATGATGAATATTTTAATATTCAATAAGTAAAAAATTATAAAACACTATATTTAAAACGAACTTTTAGGCTGATAATATTTCTAACGTCACGCTTTTACCTGTCAAATAAACTCACACAATTATTCTCAGTCACGCACATAACACCCATAACATACGTCTATATCTATATATATTTAAGGAAAAAGGCTATAATTAAATGTAAACCATTTTTACTCATAAAACTTCGTTTAACCGTGTAAAATCAATGAATCACATATTGTCAATAAAATTTGTTGCAGACAATAAAAATCTACGCATAAAACACGATTGAAAATATAATTAATCGTACCGTTTTTCACATGTTCTTTTTGAAACAGATCTCAACTAAATTCTTAATTTCATGGAAGAATCACATAAAGTTGCATTCACAAGTAAATGGTCCGTTAAAATCTTCCCATTTTTTTGTATTATAGAATACTATAAGGTAAATATATTGAATTTTTAAAAAGATTCACAAGTAAATTTTTTACTAAAATAAAAAAATAATGGGTCACAAATGCGTGACAGCGTATATGCAGGTACATCCATATGAACAAAATTAATACCAACGTTTCTGTATATTTCAATTCTTTTGACCCCTCTGTAATTTTCCCCTGCTAAGTATTCTTCATTTAAAAAATTACCTTATTCGTGAATTAAAAAATTGTCAAAGAATAAGATCCATAGATGTTAATAAATATATTCATTATACCTCGAAGAAACAAACTGTTAATGAGAATACATGAAAAAAGTCTGAATAAGTGTGAAAAAAGTCAGAAAAAAAACCTGTGTCAACCACCATTTTTTTCTTATGTTAAAATTAAATGACTAATAATAATANAAGTAGTTAAAGTAAATTGCACGGATACGACGGTCAGCCCTCTAAGATTTCTTTGAACGCTAGTTAAAAATATTATGATAAATAGTTAGACTTTTTTCTGCAAACAATTCTGGTTATTCTTTTTTATAGCGTAACCTGACATTTGAACCAATTAAAATTGACTTAAATTTATACCAGTTGTTTCATTAGTATGGTGGTCTTTTGTGCTGGGCTGGTTTACACGAGATTGTGAGTTCAAGCCAGTTGAAACATGTTTTCATGGAATAAAAGGTTTTTCTTTTTTTTAAATAAAATATATGAATACAAATTAGATAATTTACTTGTGTCACTTTCTTGAATCAAAGATTTTTGGATGTATTTATTTTGCCACAGCAATGTTTTTTTATATTTGTATGAACTTATTGACGCTAAATACAATTATAACTATGTAAAATTTTTTAAACCATGTACTTTTTTCTCTAATATTTTAGTTAAAAACTTGAAAAAAACCAAATTTTTTTACTAAAACTTTATAAAGTCTTCCCTGGGCATTGTTTATGATATATACAATACATTGATCAGTTTTTTTTCAATTATCTAAACTATAAGCCCTTTCGAGAGTTGCTAAGTCTTTTGTTTACTTGCAAACAGTGTTAATAAGTAAATAATTTTTTTTTTTCGACATTTCATTATTTAGCAATAAGACAGTGTAAAATTTATTAGTACATTTCTAAAATACAAATCATATTTTTTATTTTCTAATGCAAGGATACAAAATTAAAAAAATTATTCAAGTTTTCAATCATGAAGGAAATTCATAAAAATGTTAGTTATAACCAATTTTATAACGAGTGCTCCGAGGTCATGTTTTCTTACCTTACGCCTTAAACTCTGTAACACCTCAAACTTATTTATGTTATCAGACCTAGATTATCGATTCTTCCATACCTTGAGAAAGCTTTTTAAAACAAAGATTAAAAAAAAAATTGTTCTCAGTACGACTTTTGGGAGCCATGATAATATTTTTATTTTTGAAATAATTCCCCAAACGTCATTTTCAACCGATTGGACTAAAATTTGCAAGTACACAGACTTAGGCAAGATCTTAGGCAATCAACTAAGGTAAAAAAAAAATTGTTTCAAATATAGATAAATAATTGTTTAGTTAGTTCAATAAAATTTTAATTACTCTAAGTGGCTAGACAGTGAGTATTATTATATCACTATAAATTAGTAGATAGATAATTGCAGGCATTTATAGTTATCTTTTTTTTCACACGCAAGGACTACTTATTATTATTTTTAAAATTTTTATGACAAGCTTATTAAATAGACTTAATTTTTAATTTAAAATGTATAATTTACTGTTGGCTCACATTACCATCCGAGTTCTAGGTCCAAGACAGCGCACAAATGCATCCAAAAATAAACCAGTAGTCAGTGGGTGCTTGGGTACCCTAGTAGGAAGTTTTACTTCTCTGGCAGATAATAGGGGTAAATGGCCCAACTACTATGGTACGACGGTAATAAAAAATNGTGTTTAATTTAAACGTGTTTAATTTAAACGTGTTTAAATGTTTAAATTTTAACAAAATTGTCTACTACAAAGCACGTTTTTATAATACTAAAATTCACTTGGTTGGCAGCTGAAACACAAACGTAAAAAAAATGATGCAAACTTTTTAAGCATACTTAAAGCAGGAGATTTAGAGTACGATCAGTGAATCAGTATACAATGAGAACGTAGGATCAGTATGTATATTTTATAATTTTAGTTTAAATTTTTACTTATTTATTTACTCATCTAATCAGAAATTTTGATTATGCTGTCTATTTGGCAAGGTAAGACCTAGCTAGGCTTCCACGACGGAAGTCTAGGTAGGCGTAAAACAGTGTTTGAAGTTGGCACTTGCTAGTGCCTATCCAGGTCTCCATATATATATTCATTATCTTTTTTTCTTTACAAATAGTTTATATACATACACGTTAATGAGTTTCTGCGGTATTGTACTTTTGTTTTGAATTTCAGTAATCCTATATTCATTTATACTTATTGTGTACACAATATTTTGCTGGAAATAGCTTTAATAATTAGTTGAATCGTTACTAAAAAAAGAAGTGAAAAATTGTATCACTTATTATAACTGACAAAAAAAGAATGTTTAAGTCTAAAGCGTTAGCTTTTTTATTTTTGTATACCACTGTATTGTATATCCTTAAGACTAGACCAACAGAAGAGCAGCCACCGTAGAACAAAGAAAAATTCATTAAACAAAAATTTAACATACATTGCAATTTGAATGTATAATATTAACTCTAACTTAATAAACTATGTGTACTACTTGTCTACCAGTTTTAACAAAACTGATTAATTGTTTTATAAGGTTCTTGTAAGTATTGAGTTATGTTCCTAAATTATCAATGGATATTATTAGATTTTTTGTCAAAGAAGTAAAGGAAATTTACTAAGCTTTTCTACATGATTCCAAGAATTCGCACATACCATCCATGAAATATATGTACAGAATAACTTTTTATCGTGGGTTCTGCTTACGTATTGAGGAATTAAAACAGAATCTATAATGCTACAAGACTGGCACTTGCAGTACCGAAGTGAGTCAATCCATCGTAGATTCGCTTCCATGTTGAATTGGCTAGCTTTCTGAGAGATTCTTTATTTGTTTGTTTTATTATAAAGCCTGTAACATAACTGGTTGGCTAGTTCTGCATATCATGAGTAAAGTCGTTGAGGAGAGTATTTTGTTCAGTAGGAAACATTGTGCGATAAGTTAATTTTTTTGGGGCGCTAACTTAACGTTAAAATTCCGCAAATGGACAACTTAAAATTGATGAGCTGAGTTTTTTTTTTTAATAAAGATTTATATTCTAAATCAAATATCCTTAAATTTTTTAGAAAAATCCTTTATTCCATAAAAGTTAGAAATGAATTACTTTTTAAATAAGGTTTTCTTAAAAATACAATCAACCAGTAAGAATCTTACAAAATTTCACGAAGTAATTATGTTAGATTCAAGAATTAAAGGAGAATGCGAGGGTACATTCAGTTAACAAAAGGAAATAAAATGATTGTGAATTTATCAAGAACGAATTTTTTATAAAATGAAAACAAATCGAACAATGTTCTCGGCTCGTTAGGATCACTATTTTTATTTTGTTTTGTTTCTGTATTGTCAACGCGAGCATGTGTGCCTACCTTTGCAACCTGCTCCTTTGCACCCTTTTATGCCTTGGTAGCACATAAATGCATTTAATAATAAGGTTCACTTATTTTGTTTCATTTTAACCTCAATTAAAAAACCCTCAGATAAAATAACAAAGAACCCTTGTATATTAAGCTTTGATGATGGCGATCATAAATTATATTTTTGTGTTAAACTAATAAGCTCATTGAATAAAGCTGATCATCTCATATTGTACGATTATAATCTTATGAGCAAGTTTGTTCAATAAAATACAATGTTTGTTGACGCAACGCTCGACACGTGTCCAAACATCAAAAGAATTCACCAGCTGCTTACTATAATGTGTAAAAAGTATAACGTAGTATGATTCTTTACTTTTTGTATTATATTTCTTATTATATTGGACAATAAAATGACTGTCTCATTTATAAAGTTTCTAGGAGCACCGATGGCTTAGTGCTTAGCGTGCTAGCCTCCTAGTTAAAAAGACTTCAGGGGTCGTGGGTTTGAATCTCGTCGACTAATTCCAGATTATTTTCTTGGGCTTTTTCGATAAGATAAATATACATGACGCCGAAAAACCAGTTATCTGATTTTTAAAGACGAATAACGGATTTTTCTGGTAATGTCTGAACTTTGAGGGGTTTCTTTTTTGAGGGAAACCAACACCTGGCCAGCTAATTGGTAAAATCATTAACCATGTTTAAAATGATCAGTATAGCGAATAGATGGTTTATTGGAAAATATGTCCTTCCATTAAACCTGATAACAGCTGAGGTATGCTTGAGAAAATCGCTGTGCTCCGTAAATGGTACCCACAGATGTAGGATGGATGATCGAGTGATTTGCGGGGAACTTTGCAAAGGGCTTCGACGAAAGACTCGCATACATGGAGAAGTAGGGTGGGAATAAGAGAAATAAGGAACGAAATTGGTTTAGATAAAGGACTAGACTAAACGTAAGAACTCTGCCAATGAGTATACGTTTAATATAAATAATGAATATTATATATGTAATATAAGCAATGTCACTATAAAACAAATTTCTGAGAAGGTTCTTCACTGACTA